TGACTCAACCTTAGGGAAGCAAGGTGCTGGGGGTCAGGTTTTCACACTCCACTCCCAAAGTCAGTCCAGTGCCTTTCATCCCACAGCATCCAGCTGGCCACGGCCCCTTTCTGGTCCTGGATCCTGCCCCTTGGAATGTCCCTTTAGCTCTGAGAGCGAGGCCCTGTAGTGGGCCTCGGAGCGGGCCATTACTCACCCACAGTGACTCTTGGCATTGAACACTAAACAAAACATTTGTCTGGAGGGTCAAGGGCCTGACGACAAAGGGAGGGGACCCTTTGCTGTGCCAAGTTCTGTCCTGGTGGGTTTTCATTCATTAGCTCCTTTAAAATAGTCCATTTAGAGGAAAGAGTTTCCATTATTATCCTCATTTTACACTTAAATGTCTTGTCCAGGAAAAAGACTTGGGTTCGCATCTTGGCTCTCACGTCTGCTTATGAGCAATGTGCCTTTCGGGTGGTCACTCCATCTCTGAGCCTCAGTTTTTTTCACCCTATCAGTAATGTGGGGCTGGTAGAGATTTTCAAGATTCTGGGACTAGACAGTACTATTTATACCCTTTTGAGGCACGAAGGGGCTCAGTACCGAAAATCCACTCCAAACTACACATCACTTAAATATTTAATAAAACCTTGTGTATCCTGACGGTAAATCATGGGACCTGAATTTTCCAGGACTATCCCCATTTCAAATCCTCTGTCCTAACTTTCCACATAAAGCATCAAACTGTCTCAAAAATTCCACTCTCTCAGTATCCAAATAACACCTCCCAGGCCCTCCTCTTACACGAAGCAGCAGCACAAACATTCTTTCTCTGACAACAGATCCCAGTCTTGGGTTCAGAAAATGTAGTCACCGGAACCTTGCTGGCCCCCTGATGGAAAGAGGGTCACAGCAGCCGGTACTCCATCCCAACTCCAACTCGGCTGTTTCCTGGCGCACTGGCATAAACCACAGCCAGGAGAAGCCGTCCCATGATCAGAGCATCACCCACAGAGGGACACAGACTGGCTAGAAGAGCTCTGCCCCCACCTACCCCACAAGCTGCCAGTACCCAGGTAGGAAGCACGGCCAGAGGGTTGCTCCAAGGTTTAGGTGAATGAGTTAATATTTAGAAAGCACTCAGAACAGTGCCTGGCAGCCAGTAAGTGCCATAACAGTGTTTCCTGATGACAACCAAAGGCATCCCTGGCAGAAGGGGATCACGCCTCGAAGAGAACCCACAGGCATCAGTTCTGTCTGGGGGAGAACAAGGAGAATGGGCACTTACCCCTGGCTTGAGTGAAGCTGGGGCCCCTTACAGACATGAGGGAGTACCCTGACAACAGGAGGCCGGACCTGGGGAAGAGTCATCACTCCCGATATACACATGGGCTCTGGGTCTTAGCACCTGCTGTTCTGTCAGCCCCCCAAATACCATCTTTTTCTCCCTTTAAGGCTGAATTCAAATGCCGACTATTCCTTATGGTGTTCCTTGATCTCCACCAGAATGAACGGCTGCCTCCACTAGTCTCTCTTGCATCTGGCTTTAGCCTCTTTTAAAGTAACTGTGAGACAGATAAGTAGATACAGAGCATGTGTGTATGCGCACGCGCGCACACACACACACGTCATTGTCTTCCCAATTCCACCATGCATCCTTCCAAGATAAGGGTCTTTCACCTCTGTAACCCTAGGGCCTGACACACAGCTCAAAAAGTGTTTGAATTTGCTGTGAAATCTGTGCTCTCAGCTGGTCTTCACCTGGAGGCCAAAAGTAGCTTCAGGTGCACACATAACCTGAAGCTACATAGCTGCAAGATCTCCAGGTCTGGGAACCCATGAACTAGATCAGATTTTAGCCAGGGGCCTACTAAAGCATTCCCTTTCATCCCCCTTCAGGTGGATGAAAGGAGACACCTATGAGACCCGAGCAGCGTGGACGCTGACCAGATCCTGGCCCATCTCTAATAGAGTTGGTAAGAAGAGCCCAAGCTTGGGAAGCAACACCAGCAGGCTGCCCTGCCTCCACCAGCAGGTCAAGGCCAGGGTAAGTGCAGAGTGCCTTAGGCATTCCAGACCCTGCAACAGACCTGGGAACAGATGAAGAGGGATTGGCCCTGCTTTCCAGGAACCACTGCTGTCTGGTGGAAGAAAGCTGAGTACCGGGATTACAGTCAAAATCACAGGTCCCCTCCCAACCTACCACAAATCCTGAGGGTTCAGCAGGGAGGTAGGGGGCCAGGCCTTCTTGCTCCCTCCAATCCCCAAAGCTGAGCCCTGTGGGTGGGTTATGTGCATCCTGGAAAACAGAATTCCTCCTGTGCCTGGACCAAAGGTTCAGAAGGTCACAGTTCTTCCCTCCTGCTCCTGGCCCCAGACTACCTTTGCTAGCTCAATTTCTGCAAGAGTGAGAAAGAACAGCCCTGAAACTAAACAATGTATGTGAACTCTCCCCGTTCACAGCCAACAATCAAGGAGTTGGCCCCAATCCCCTAAGGTCCATTCCCAGCTGGGAACGTCAACTTCTTTCAGGGGTAAGATTTGTCTCTGACCAGGTTCCTGCCACTGGCCTAAGGATAAAAGCTGCCAGGATTCTTCTCTATGAAAAAATGTGAAAGAAGAGGTCCAAAACAGGAGTGGTGAAGCAGTGAGGTATTCTGAATTTGATTCTGTGTTAATTTAGATTCTTTCTCCTGCTCTCAGCTGTCCCTGAGGACCTGCCCCCTCCTGGCAGGGAAGTTCCCCCAGGCTCCCTGGGTTTGCTGGGACACACTGGTCTACTCAGCATCCCCACCCAGCACTACATCTGATATACAGAAGCAGCTCAATAAATGCTTGATGAACAGAAAGCCACTTGGAAAATGCCTTCAGTAACTTGACCTTTTACATTCCTCAGCTAATGCCTAATTCGCGTATAAGAGTCCAGTTTTAGGAGATGGCAAGTCACCAGAGACAACTCAGGATCAATACAGATTATTAGGCATGTTTTATTCTACTCTGATTCTCTGCAAATTGGTATTCCATTAAGTGTATGTGGGATTTGTAGGAGCTCACTATAAACTAGAATATTTAACTAGAACGACCTATTCTCTGTCAGATAATAGCTTATCGTTGTTAATTTTCAACTAGTCAATCTCAGAAAGGTTTCCAGCTTCCAGTCTCCTTTACATGTGGATTTAATCGCCAGGAAAGTCATCTATTTCAAAGTCTCCATACAATAAAGGGCAGCTTGATTTAGAAGAAAAAGACCTGCCCAAGGAAGCAGAAGACCTGAGTTCTATCCCACCTAGGTCAATACAGTATGATCGGCTGTTCAAGGCCTCAATTTTCTCATTTGTAAAATGGGAATAACACTGGTCTCACGGGAGAGTTGTAAAAATTAAGTGAGTTGATGCATGTGGATGCACTCTGCACAGTTCTATAAGGCTATACAAAGGTTAAACACAAGGTGAAATTCTTGAACAACTCAGGTAGGCTAATGACAGAAAGCAGGGTGGTTCTAAAGGGGGTGAAGAGATATTTTGCCCCCCAAGGGACACTTGGTCAGGGCTGCAGGGAGGGCATTTTGGGTTGGCACAACCGAGGGAGAAGGACTGCTACTGGAATCTACTGGGTAAGAGCCGGGATGCTGCTAAATGTGTTGCAATGCTTTGGACAGGCCCCACAACAAAAAATGATCCAACCCCAAATGTTAACAGTGCTGACATTAAGAAACCCTGATCTAAACAATCAGGAAAGTTGGGTAGGGGAGCTTTTTCCAACAGAAATCCTTTTAACCAGGCTGTACTTCCATCATCTCTTTAAACATTTGCAAGATGGATCATCTTGCAAAACAGCTCTTTTGTAAGTAAAGCTGAACTGCCAACTTCTGGAGTTTCTGAATGTATAAAACTGCTTTTAACTAGATGTTCTCCGATTACAATTCGGCTAAATTGTTTTTCCAAAGCCCTTGACTTCTGCAGTTCTCCAGGGCACAAAGACAGGGTCTGTCACCCCGCCACTAGGCCCTAAAGATGCTTTCGTAATTCTAATTTCCTGGTCAAATGGGAGCCACGAGGGTCTCTAAACGAATTAAATTCACATCACGTCAACTGCTCCCTTGCTTAGTGTTGGGCACGGAGCCAAACACCTCCACATAATTTATCCCACTTAATCCACCCAACCACTGAGTGAGGTGGGCATTACTACCGGCTGTTTGCAGGGGAGGAAACTGAAGATCAGAGAGGTTAAACAACTCGCCCAAGGTCACCAGCTGGCCAGGGGGAGCCCAACTTGAACGGAGGTCTCCAGTTTCCAAGTCACAAGCTCTTTCCACCAGCTCGGAAAACCCAGGTGTCAAGTTGTCTCAACTTCCCATGAATTTTTAAGGCAACGGCAACTTCTCAATAAGTTTAGGCTGCTGAAAATGGGAATTTCCGGGGGGCTGGGCGTTCTCACATACACTACCCCACTGCAGCTGTCCCACCGCAGGTACCTGATAAATCATCCCATATCGCCCGCGGAACAGGGAGGATTTATTGGCGCTGGAGTTCATGCCAGGCCCAGGAAATGCCATCTTTGAAAGCCGAGAGGCGGATTCGCCCTGGGAGCCGAGAAGGTCTGGCCGCCGCGCTTGGCTGGCTCCCCCGCGGGCTGTGTGCCCCCTCGGCGCCCCGGGCTGGGGTCGCCGCGGCGCGCTGGGCCCTCCGGGGTCGCCGGCCACGTCCACCCCTGCCGGGGTCAGATCGCACGCCCACGCCCCGCCGCCGCAACCGCGTCCCGGCCGCTCGCCCGGGACTGAGCCTCACCCCGCCCCGCTTGCTCCCTCCCGCCGCGGCCCCGCCAGGTGAGCGCGGCCCGGACTCCCCCTCCCCGCCCCGACGTGGCGTCGGGACCCCGGGGCCGCGGCGTCCACCAGCCCGCCCGCGCGCTCGCCGCGCGCTCAGGGACGGGTGGGGGCGGGGCGGCGCCGAGCGCGCCCCCGGCCCCCGGTAGCCCCGCGCCCTGCCTCGGCCCGCTGGGGTCGCGCCCGCCCGTACCTGCAGCATCCGGGGGCGCGGGGCGCCCAGGTAGGTCGCGCGAGCGGGCGGCGCGGAAGCTCGCTCGCGGCGCGACCTGGCCGCCGTCTGAGCATGCCCAGTGCCGCCCGCGGGCGGCTCCCGCCGGCCGGGCTGGCCGCGACGGGCCCGCGCGCCGGGCGGGGGGCGGGCGCCCGGGCCGTCCTGCGGGGCGCCCCTGCTCCGCCCCGGTCTGGCGCGCTTGGACGCGCAACGCAGGGCCACTGGGGCTCTGCTGCCGAGCTCCTGGCAGCCCCCAGTACCCTTGCGCGGGCACGCAGGTTTTCGTTCCATGCCATTTATTGGGTACCTACTGTGTGCCGAGCCCTCAGTGAGTTTATGCTTGGGAATGTCAAGCAGACCGCGTTCAACAAATCTTTGAAATGAGGACGAGTCTTGCCCAGCTGGGGTCCTGCCGACTTTCAGTCCAGTGCGCATCCCGTTCCACTAGTAAGCTTACCGGCTTAAACCTTCTTCCCCAAATTTCTTACCCGCCATTACCCCCCCCATCTGTGCTCTTGCTGTCCTCTTCCACGTGGCTCAACTGACAGCACCTTTCTGGCCACCAAACTCTGAACTTGGCCAGCCTCAGGACATTTGCACATGCCTTTCCCCCCACCTCCTGCTCTGTGAGACTTCTTTGCCCAGTTTTTCACGTGGCTGGCACCTTCTCATTCTCGTACCTATGTCCTCATCTGAGAGGCCTTGCCTCAGCACCTTACTACATTAACACCCTGTTCCTGGACATTCTCCATGTCCTCATTTTATTTCCTTCACGTGTATCACTATCCATTAATTCATTCAACAAGTAATTATTGGTCATCTACTTTGGTTCTTCAGGCGTGGTGAACAAATAGGCAAAAATCCTGTCCCCTGGTGGAGTTTGGGGAAAGAGAGGCAGGCAACAGACAATAAACATGTAAATAAGCAAGCTATATATTATATAAAAGGTTATAAGTCATGAAAACGAACAAGGACAGGGTAGGGAGACGACGGTCTAGGGAGTACAGTTTTCAATGAGGTGGGCTGATCAGCCTATGAGAGTGACATTGAGAAGGTGGCGACTCAGCCCCGCAGAGGGAAAAGCTTGTGCAAAGACACTAAGGTGCAACACTCGTTAGGGTTTGGCAAGCACAGCGTAGTGGGAGACGAGGTCGGCAAGTGACTTTTCCTCTATTTGCTTCTTGTGTATTCCCCTAGGGAATTGCTGGAGCTGTATAGCCAGCCCTGCCTGTCTTCGCTGCAGTGTCCCAGCTCCTGTATGGCAGCACATGCCACACAGTAAGTGCTCAAATACTATTTGTTGAATGAATATGTGAATGGAGGGATGGACTTATGTTTGGAACCGTCCGGTCTGGACTAAGATGCCCGAGGTCCAGGGGGCCGGCCTGCCCAGGGCCATTTGGTGGCCGCCGGCAGCACCTGGTGCCTCACTTGGGTCCTTGTCCCCGAGTTGCACGTCCCCGGGTAGCGCCACTGCAGCGGGCGCCGCCTGAGCGTCGCGTCGGGGGGAATTCCGACGGAGTCAAGGAGTCCCAGGAACAGGACCCGCCCCGAGCCCTGCCCCGCCCTTTGGTCGCTCGCAAAACCTGGCCGCCGGTCCAGCCCCACTGAGCCGGACGGGGAGTTCACTGGGCATGCTCGGAGCCGGGCGGGGCCCGAGTGCCCGGGAGGAGGAGTCTCCTGGTGGGGTTGGCGATGCCCCCCGCAGAGCCTCGCGGGACGCTCAGCCCCCCGCTTTGTTCCCGACGCCTCCTGGAGGGTCTGGGGGGCTTTTGTTTGTTTGTTTTTCAAAGCTTAGTAAGAAAGCTGGGGATCCAGAGTCCGCGAAGGGCGTTCTCTGCCCTCTCTGTTGTGCGATCTGCGCCAAGCACCTTACCCTCTCTGTGTTTTCGATAACACGAATACCCATCACTTGGCTCTGGGCAGAATGTGGGGACTGAATGAAATAAAAGACGTGAACATGTTTAATCCACTTTAAAGACCCATTTCGCGAGTGCCTGCCTCAGTTATCTGTCATCTGCAAACCAGTTTGCCAAGTGCTAATATGAGGAAACGTAAGTTAATGGACATGTGAGTTCTTGGAGTTGTCTTAATTTGCCTTCTACCACAAACTAGGCTGAAAGTATCTTTTCTTTCCCCACATGCATCAGTCATGAGCTTAAACAGTGTTCTTAAATTCGAGCTCAAAAATATCTGTACATCTAAGGGAAAAAGACCTAAATTTTTTTAAAATCATGCAATTCGATCACCATAACAGAAGCAGGAACAAAAGGAAAGAATATTCCCCAAACTGGAAACAAATGAACGTCCACAAATAGTGGAATGATTAGTTAGGTTATGGTGTGTTTGTTGAATAATAACTAGTTTATACTAAGCTAGACCATACTGCAACAGGGGGAAACTAACAATACAATGTTAAGGGGGAGGGGAGCCAGAAACACAAAAACACTGCATAAAGATTAAGTCTACACATTCACCCAGACTAGAAGGAAATAAGGGAAAATGTAAATAGTTTAATTTGGGGGGATAGTGTGGTTGGTTTCTCTTTTTAAGTTTATTACTAAAAAAACCCCCAAAAAACCAAAGCAAAGTTTATCTATTACTGTCACACTGTTGTGTTTGCAATAATAAACATTGAAAGACCAAATTAAAAATTTGTGAAGTTTTGTGAAAGTCTAATCATAATAATAACAATAATTACTATTATCAAGCTCAAGTATGCTTGAATTTTACACATATTGTGTCTTTAATCTGGACAGTGACTGGGTGTCTCTAGCTCAGTTTTACATAAGAGGAAACAATCTAGGAGTCATTCACAGCTAGTAAGAAATAGGGTCAAGACTGAACACAGTTGGTCTGACCTCAAAGCCAGGGTATTAGGTTTTATAATACTGCCTCTCTGTGTAGTAGCTTGCCTTGTATTGATCAGAAGAGAAACCACATATCATTTCATTTTGTGTCTTTTTTTGCCTCATTTTCTCTACCCTTTGATGTGTTTGTAGGCTGCAGATTGCCTTTAAATGTTCTGGTCTCCTGTTACTATTTTATTGTGGGAGCCAAAATGTTAAAGTCCATCCTTTTCAGCTGTTGCACCTGGAGTGACATGATGTTATTATGAGCAATGACAGTTGATCTTATATCATAAGCTCCCAAATTTTATGGAAGTGAAGCTTTTGGATGGACACATAGTCTTCTTAGTCTATGTGGTTGAATCCAGCCAAATCGAGAGCAAGCAGAGGCCTCATCAGGGGTAAGGCTATCCCAAGTCTCAGATGATGAGGCCAGTCCAGACATAGATGATTCTCCCTGGATAATCATTTTTGAGTCACAGTCACAACATAATGGAACCACCTGGTCCATGGACTCCTCAGAACTTTGCTGTGATGAAAAGATACAGGGCCGATTGTCCTGATGATGTTTGCCAAGAGAAAGCCAAGGCCCTAATAGCAGCCCTCCTACTGTTGATAAGCAAAACCAGAAACAAACAAAAACCCCCAAAACCCCAGTCTCTCTTCTAATAGTGCTGGTAGACTGTTCCTGGCCCAGAAATCACCAAACAACAAGAAACACAAAAAGCCAAAGACGGTCATTTTGTAGGAGAGGAAAGTATGCCACAAACCCAATATCATCACTTGTAATGGGCCAGATTTGTACAGAGGAATGAGAGATGCGCAACTGGGTACAGTTATTAGCATATTCCCAGAAGCTGCCGTTCGCACTGAAAATCTGGTGCCCAGCACCATACACAGGCAATTGGCTGGGGGCATTTATAGGAAGAGTTTCCTGGAAGAATCACTGAGGATTGTCATTCACATCAAAACTCAGGAAGTCTGGGCACCACGTGGACTGTTTCAGTGATTTACAGGGCAGGGTTCCCAGCTGAGATGCTAATGCTCATCAATTATTTGTACTGTTAATGCAAGCTCCTGAAGGGCCCAAAGCATCAGCAAATATATGGACAAGTGGTGCTGTTATAATGACAAGTGAAAATACGATGTAAAATTATATACATAGTATGGCTTCCACTCTGAATTACGAAGTTAAACCATATAAAACTGCCATTTCGTGGGTCAGTAATGGTTGAACATTGGCAACTTCCTGTATTTCAACTTAATATATACACATAGAAAAAAGAATAGACAGAACTGCACCAAAATATTAATGGCAACTCTATCTGAGCATTGCATTTACAAGCAGAGAAACAAGATATGGAAGGTATTTTTTATAAATCTGGAGAACCTCAAGTCTTTGGGCATCTATTTCTTTGCTGTGTCTTTATAGTTCCCTAAATCTTATTTTATGGTGTGTTTCCTTCATTATCAGGAAAAGTGAAACAAACTTTAAAAGCTGGCAAGCCAAACAAAATGATGTAGAGGGAAAACAGTTATTCTGGAATCATACACAAATGGGAGAGGTTCCTTTCACAGAGAGTGAAGCCCACTCTGCCCTGTCCAGCATGGACAGATGATGGCAGAATGTCTGCTCCTGGCCCAGGAGGGAGGGAGGGGAGGAACTGATCAGGGGTCTAGTTGGGAGCCTGTAGAGGGGTGTTCATCTGACTTGCGACCCTATTCATCCCCACAGCCTGTGTTCTTAGGACTCCTGGACTTCACGGATCTCACTTGGAGAAACACAAATTTGTAGCCTAAAGTTTTATCCATTGAAAAATGTTTTTCCTCTTAAAAAAACAAAAAAGGACACCTGGGTGCTTCAGCTGGTTAAGCCTCTGCCTTTGACTCAGGTCATGATCCCAGGGTCCTGAGATCGAGCCCCGCATCAGGCTCCTTGCTCAGCGGGAAGCCTCCTTCTCCCTCTGCCTGCTGCTCCCCCTGCTTGTACGCGAGCGTTCTCTCTCTGACAAATAAATTAATAAAATCTTAAAAAAAAAGAAAAATGTTTTTCCATCGCAAATTATCACTGCCAAAGGAGTTTTGTCTGTAAAACTGATGAACAAACTTAGCATGGGTACAAGAGCGGTGTTGTGGATTCATTCATTCATTCATCACGTATTTGTTAAGCACCTACT